GCATGTCACCGTAGGCACACCCTTCTTTTTATTGTATTTCAGTAGATGATACTAGTCACGGGCCTGGCCGGTTGGCCGGTTTCATTTTTCAACCGTGTAACTAAATAGGTAAGAATACCGGGTTCATTTGTAAATTGTGTTAATACAAAAAAGAGTAGCATGAGTTTCGTGTGTTTTGTTTGGTGACAAAAATCTAGATTGATGAAATTATCGAAATATAAATTTCTTTGTAGCGGAAAAGAATCCAAAATATTAAAGTACTTAAAATTTTTAAAATACGAACATCATAGTATTCTGGGACATCCTAACCGACTCATCCAACACAATTAATTTACGAAAAATCAACGACTAACCCTTTACCAGCAAAATGAATTCTATAATTGTTTTGAATAACTCTTATATATACTCATAGCCCGTGTCGTGCTCATCCTTGTCCTTTCTTTGAGGTGCTTCCATGCTTTACACCGGTGGATTTGGCCATCGTCGTCACTGTTATCACCGAAAATGAATGACAATTACTCATGTTTGGGTTTGTTGAACATCAAACTCATAACACGCAGGCAAATATGGTGAGTAAAGCTGGCTCCAACCTAAAGAGCAAAAAACCAAAGAGCCATATATAGCTCTTTTTCTTACTCCAACCCCAAAAAAAAGGGGAGTCAAATATGGGTATTGGGATTTTGAGAGCCAAATTTGGCTGGGTTTTGGGAAGGAAAGCTATTTATGGCTGGGCAAAAGTGGGTATTGGGCCCACGTTTGTTTGTCCCATGTGGCGGGCAGACCCCCTTTTCCTTTTTTTTTCTTCTTCTTCTTCCTCATTTGTGATTGGTTGTTGCTTTGTTGGTGTGATTTAAATTTAAATGAGAATCAATTGACGTAGTGACGAAAAAACAATTGTTTTCAAAAGTGATGATGAATTATAAAAAATTAAAAGCAAATATAAAAACTAAAGGTCAAATAAGTATGGTTATGGAAATAAATTGAAAATGTGAGGTGGGAAGCTAAATTTAGCTTTTTGTAGGGTTGGAATAAAAATGTGATTTGGGGAGCTAAAAAGCCATATTTAGCTATTTGGGAAGTCAAATTTAACTTTGTGGGTTAGAGTTAGCCTAAATGTGTAAGAATTTCACCTTGGTCCAAAATTAATTACTTATGGAATTCTTGGATTCATTAGTAAGGTCGCTCCTCAAGAGGTGAAATTGATTTTACCTGGAAATTTGTTTCAAATATTTTAAACGTAATCAAAAAGCATATACACATATGATATAAGAGAATAAACATTTTGTCTACTTTCATATATATATTCTTTCAAAATTCCCATTTAAATTGTTGATTCACTACAACAATTGATTAAGAAATAAGACAACTAATGCACGGTTGAATACCTACCCCTGTCCTGAGTAAGTTAAATGAACATTTGCATAAGTATAAAATGAGTTAATTTTGAAAAATAATTCTTGTCTATATAAGTTGCTTGTGTCAACATTTGACATATAACCATGATCTCACAGCATATGAGTCATGTAGCTAGCTTTATGGACACTTTGAGAAGTAGTAAATGATACTTACCCTCAAAAGAAATCTTTGCATGCCGCTTCTGTTGAGAATAAAGAAATGCAGACGATGATACTCCACTCGAATGTACAAAAAAAAAAAAATTAGAAAGCGGAGGAGAAGGTAAGGGAAAGGTAAAGACATAGATACTTTAATATCTTGAATGAATATGTTAGTATGGTACTAATATATTATCTTCTAGGAAAAAATCTAAAAAGTTTCAGAGATATTATTTTCTGGGTTTGTACCTAACAAAGATTCCAAAAACTCATACTCTTTTTTTACCGTATGAAATCTAACAGAGAATTTATTATTATTAAAAGTATTTTGATTGAAAAAGGAAAAAGAGTCCTTCCTATAATCATTCAATTTAATATGTCAGGAGACCACAATAATTTAAATAATAGACAATATTAATTTATTGAGGATAAAAAAAAATTCATGAGATAAATAACTAACCCGAACTTGATGCGTGCATGAAATCATAACAATAGTATTAAGGAATAACAAATCAATCATATAGTGATACTCCATTAAACATATACGATTTGTTGTTCTATGGATGTCGATACCTCGCAAAACCATTGCCATCAATAGTTCTTTGAATGTATAATTCATTTGGAAAATGTTTAGAGCATACACCATTTGTTGTACATAGAGCTTTAGGTCCTTGCATGTCACATGGACCATGAAACATAAATTTTGCAACTGATTCGTAACATCCCGGATCTACTCTAGGATCTGGAACTTCCGCATATATAAGTGAATTTATTTCTGAATGACTATATAATTTATCTTATGCAGCAAGCGAAACTAATAAATGAGCAAGAGGTAGAGCACGTTTTATAATTCAATGGAAATTACATCTGTAATGAAAAATTATCATAATAATTAAAATTATAAAATAATAGTTAGCGAACAAAAGTGACATCAGGTTTAAGTGTTTGCTTGCAATAACATATCCAAAACCTCTAGAGGCTACCTTCGAGGAGGGAGATTCACTTTGCCTTGTCTACAAAATGAAAACTTTGATTCATTGGGATTCCTTCTGGGTTGGGTACTTTCTCCCTTCCACATCATCGCTCCAATATATTCACATTTATATGATGGGGTCCAATATCAAACACTTCAACAACTACAATTAAAACTCCAATATAAGAGATACATTTGATAAAATTTCAATAATATAATAAATGAAGGATAATTAAAATATTCATAAACCAGGAAAGTCTCTAGATCACATCACCCAAAGACGATTATAATGATTTTCGGCAAGTTTGATGGATCTCAACAATCTATTTCTCTTAGTTTGTAAGTTATTAATTTCATTTTAAGAGGAATCATTAAAATAAGCAATCGTAGCATCTGACACATAATTTGGTAACATATAAATAGAAAACAAACATTAAAATAATGAAATACCAGTAAGAATGTTGACAATTTTTCATATATACGCTTTTGCCGTGTATTAAGAGCATGTTTCCTTCTTACTAATTTGGTCAATGGTTGATCAATTCTCTTTAACTCTAACTTATGTGCATTAATTTCTGAAAATGTAAAATGGATAATGGTAGTTTTTTAAGATCAAGTAGTGTCAAATATTTAGGGAGTTTATAATCAATTCATGATTCATCGATATTCATACCATAAGAAAATTCATTCTACAATTCAAATAGAGACTGATTAGAATCCACCACTGACCACACCTCGTGGTGGTATAAAAATGACTCTCTTTTCTCTTGAATAACGCATCACATGAACACATTAAATTGTAAGATGTATATACTTATGCTAATAAAAAAATACTTACATTCAATAACGAACGAATTGAAGCATTATTTGGTTGTTTGAAAGACTCTCACATGAAGTATTTCTTCGAAGCATAAAACACATAAGAGTAGCCTTCAAAAATCATTTAGTCTAAACCTTCAGTGAGCGAGGAGTGATCTTTCTTTCTTTCTGTTCTCCCTTCGTTTGTTTGCCTTGTTGTAATAATGCTACGTACTACGTAGTATATAAATGCCTATGTAATCGATCACCTATAAAACTAAGATTATATAAAACCATTGACGAAACCCACAATTATCACAATCAAATTTCATTTTCATATAATTAACAGGTGCCCTACCCCATTAACTATATCTATAATGTATATGTATTAGGGAAATAAAACGCAATACTACACCATATAAGACACCATAATTTTCATTAATTAACTCGATGTGGTAACATCAGTAAATAAAAATTAATATTTCAGGCTACTCATATATGTTCATCAACTGTTAGCAATGTACTTTATGATATGGTCTCTTGGTACCTCTAGAGATGGACAGAACACCTAATTCACTCATGTTTTCATTTATTAATGTCATATTGGCGTTATTCACGTAAAAGTGTTGATTATTCATGCAACCATATTGTTTAGTCAGGCAACCTGGTGTTTTTTCACGCATATTGTTATTTATTCACGCCATTGTAAAATCAAATTTTAATCTTGAAAATATATAGAAATGAGTTTCACTATGTAGCTTATAATCAATGCAACACATATTTTACAGATTAATTGATAATCCAAATTTAATTCCATAAAATATAGCCACTACAAATTATTGGAGGAAATAGGTATGAATTTTCATTTACGTGAATAACTTACACTCTTACGCGAACAAACACCAAATGGCGTGAATAAACACAAAAAAAAAAAAACGTGAATTGGGTGTCTTTAGATATTTAGTCTGAGAGACTCAGACAATAAAAAATTTCCTTTATAAATTTTTGGAGGAGGTAAGCCTAAAATGGATGGAAATAATTAAGAAGCTGCCAACATTAATTAAACTCTCCTTTTCTGCCTTCAATGGCCCGTACAAATTAAAACCCCTTCCTTCAATTAAAAACTGTTTTTACTTTAATGGCCCTCCGCCAACTGCGCTGGAGTCAAGAAAATTACAATTGAAGGGGTTCTTGAGTAGAACCTCCATATAGTAATGATTTAGATAATAAATTGAATGAGCCGCAATCACTTGCACACAACATCAAACAGATTACTCGGTCAGTTTTTTAGACGAATTTCGTCGTAGCACTATGAAAAGCTAATAAGAAAACATATAATCTTTTGTCATTCATCATCTACATCTCACGTTTTTGTGAGATGTTTATTTTTCATTGAGAGATTTGATTTCAAACACACTTTCAATATATAAATTTGTCGTCATCTATTCTCAAACCGAACCAAATTAGATCAAATGCACGATTTGTCCAGTCATTAGTTAATTCTAAGATGTACGCTACTAGACAGCGAATCACATGAGTTTTCGGATTGTGTTACAAATTTGGATCATTATCTATAGCAAGTCTCTAGCCAGCTGAAACTTTTGCGAAATATGGGCCACAAGCTCTTGGGTCAGAGCGAAACTCACCCAATCCATCCCGTTAAAGCGAAATTGGACCTCAGCCTGTCCAGTTCACGGGCCGCCTAGCTCACGTTACCCTGACGGCCTTGCCAGTTACCAGTATACCACTACCAGTCGTTCATCGTCTTTCTTCATTGGCTTATAATAGGTTTCCGGCGACCGTCTTCCCTTCCCAAAGGCTTCAACCTCTGATGCGCGCCCCGTGATTGAGCCTGATTTCTGCATCCTTCCTACCGTTCAAAAAGATTCAATTATTATCTTTTCTATTTCTTTAATCTTCGGCTCAAGAGCTTATTAATGGGGAAACCAACTGAGGAATTCGCCGCTCCGATCAAAACCCAGTTCCCGGAAAGCGATGACGACGACGAGGAGGAGCTCTCTTCATCTTCTTCAGAGGAGGAAGAGGATGAAGACCAAGAGGTGAGTACTTTACGAGCTCCTCAAAGTCGGTTAATTTCTCAGCTGGAATACCATGGAAATTTATGAAGCTCTGTATTTGTGTTGCAATTTGGAGCAGGAGGAAGAGGTATTAGAGAGAGAACTTGCGGATGTTACGTTTGAGGAGCTGCAGAAAGCTAGGTCTAATGGGTCCGATTCAGTCTACCGAAAGCCCAATTTAGAGAAGAGGGCTAAGAGAGCCAACAAGAACAGGCACTATTTCCTCTTCAAAATAATAATTGATTGTTGATTCAGTATCATTTCTGCATATGCTTTAGCTCTCCTCGTATTGGTTTTTTGGTTTGTTGGTGATTGTAATTGCCCTTTGCTTCTGTGTTTCCCCGTGCATTTTTTCAGGCCGGTAGAGGTCACTTGCAAAAAGCCAGTTAGTAGGTTTCGAGAGGTTATTCAAGCTCCTAAGAAGGTATTGCAACCAACTTTCTTCATTTCATTACTTTAGCCTTTACCTTTTGGTTCAAAACCATGCTTAATTTGTCACATAGAGGATCCTTTGAGCACCTTGTAGACTGTAGTAGCTGTTAGTTAGTGCGGCTCTGATTTTGATGTTCTACTTTGCAATGTTGAGACGTAGCATGAGCTTCGACTTGGTTAATTAGCATCCCTCTTGTACTGCTGGGACATAGCACTTCGATTTTGCATTTACTCAGGTTATGCCCGAGTAGCACTGACTGTACTGTTGGAAGCTTGAGGACGTTATGACAAGTTGCTTGATGTGTAATTCCTGTTCAGTGGTGATAGTTTGTAATCTTCCGGTTGTTTATTTATGTTTGTAAATCTCTTCTCTGAGTGTTTCCTTTTAGTGAATCCAAAGCTTGTGTCTGTTGATGATGGGCTTGATATGCTGTAGGTGGTACGTGATCCTCGCTTTGAGTCGTTGTGTGGTACGCTTAATGTGGAAGGGTAAGTGTATTTCCATGTGATTGTGTTCTCTAGTTAATTATGTGATCACTGCTGTTTATTGTTCTGTGTTTTCCCTACTCTATGTTTCCTAGGCCATCCTAAATAGAGAGTAGCACTTGACATGGCCAATGTTGTTAGAACTTGAACTTCATGGAAAGACTTTCTGATTAATAATTTGTGTTCTCTCTATAGCTATAGGAAAAGGTATGATTTCCTCTACGAGAGCAATCTTCCAGCTGAAAAAGAGGTGACTTCCTTAGATTCATTAAAGCTAACATGTTCGACTCCTCACTTGGTGTTCTGTTCCTTAATATGTTCTACTCACTTCTTTTTTATTGATACAGGAACTAAAGAAGCAGCTAAGGAAATCCAAAGACCCGGTAGTCGTCGATCAATTAAAGAATCGAGTAGCTTGGATTGTAAGAAACCTGCTAACTAAGTATGAATTTCTCTTGTATCTCATGTGTTTAGCTCTTTTGCTTACCTAGTTTCTGCCCTTGTCAGGACAAGCAGCTAAAGTTTGACACGACAAAACAAGTGGAATCATCGATCCTCACCGAACACAAGAAGAAAGAGAGGGAGGCTGCAAAGCAAGGCAAACAACCGTTTTATCTCAAGAAATGTAAATCCCTTTCTCCCTCACAGTTTTCAACCCAAGAAATAGCCAGACTCCCAAGCATTCAATAACCTTAAATTATGTGTCTTTTGCAGCTGAAATTAAGAAACAAAGGCTCGTCGACAAGTATAACAAACTCAAGGTATGCTTTAACTCGTCATTGATTCCTAGGGAAACCACGTGCGTAACCTTCCAAACTCGGTTACTGCCAGTTTTTTTCTCGAACTGATGAAACATCATAAATTGACTACAGGCAACCGGAAAGCTTGAATCTTTCATCGAGAAACGGAGAAAGAAGAATGCTTCGAAGGACCACAGGTTCATGCCATACCGAAGACCATCCTCAACAGGCGAATGAGAGCAATGAAGCTGATTCGGATTCAATCTCCAGGAAGAAAGAAACCCTCTTTATACCCTTTATATATGTTGTATTGTGTACGTGTCAGTAGGCTCGATTAGACTGGCTATGTGATCTAATGACGTAGATTTCTTGTTGAAATTTCCTGCCGCGAATATGACGAGATTAGACGTACCATTTTGATACTATCTCGTTGGTTGGAAGTTGCTTTCATGTTAAAGACTTTGTCGAAAGAACATCCATCCCATTCTTTTGGTTCATCCGATGATGTTGCAATAACACTATAATAACAGCAGACAGCCCATCGGAAAAGGCCGAAGCCTCGGGCTCGGCCCGGGCAGTGGCGCTTGTGTAAATAACTGGGAAATCCAGGGGTGAGAACGCAAAATATCCAGTTCTCCAAATCTTAACAGGAATACGTGGCTTGTCCTAGCACGACACGTGTCCCTGCTGTCCTTTTCGTTGCAGTGAGCCGGTCACCTAGGGAGTAAGTCAACCGGGACCAGCCGGTCACCACCAGCCTACTCTTTCATTTCCCTCGCTAGCTCTGTGACTCTTTCCCGCTCTCCCAAATGGACGACACCTCGAGGAATGGAACAAAAGAAATAAAAAAAAATTTAAATAGAAACGCGAAACTCTTTACTTAAATTTCTTCCTTTTCCTCCTAACTCACTCACAGTCTCACTACTAGTGCTTTGCTGCCATTGCTGTTCCGTACAAGAGCAATATGTGGTAGAGAAAGGGAAGAGGCTGTACAAGAATCAAAGTATTGGGTATCTGGTAAAGAATCTCATTCTCTGTGTCTATGCGCCACTTTCTTCAAAATTTGGCTCCTTTTTTTTTTTTCCTCCCCTTTTCCTTTCCCGGCTTTTACTTTACTGCTCAATAGTTTCCTCGGTTGCTATAAACATCGAAGAGACCCACAAACTTGATTCTATGCCCTGTTATGTGTTATCCATGGGGAATGGGCATTTGGGTTTGTCGAGAAAAACAAGCAAAGCGAGCTAAAGGAAATAAAGCTCAAGGTTTTTGAAATTTGGAGCGTTCCAGCTTACTGAAGGGTGGTGACTGCTTTAGTGTGTGGGAGTCCCACAAAAAAAATAAAAATAAAAAACCCAACTTGGCTTCTCTTTGCCTTTTTATTTCCAGAAGGGGTTCAGGTGGGGCATTCTTCTTCTGTGAAATGTCGGCTTCTGTTGGTTTCAGGAAGGTGATAGAGTCTAGGTGGTGGTGTTGTAATTCTGCACTCGAGAATGGTCGGCGTATTGGAGGAGGTTTAAAGCTTCTATGAGCAGTTTATAGTTCCTATTATGGTTTCTGCCCGGAAAACTTTTTGGCTTTGAGTTACCCCTTACCTGTTTTCTTGTCATTAAAGGTTGTTTTATCTTGTATAAGCGTATGCTAATCTTAGGTTGTCAAATTATGAATTCTCCGTGTGGGTTTGTTTGATGTCGATCCTTCAGTGCTCATTGTATCTTGAATATGTAGTGCATTTGGGTTTCTGTGTGTTGGTTTTAGAGGCCTTTTAGATTCTTACTGTTCCTAACATAAGTGATTTGTAGTGCAGTGGCTCTTGAAGGAATACTGTTGTTGCTCGCTAAGATCATAGCTGGATCCTTGCACAGTACTAAGGTGTCTCTTTGGGAGGGTTCATGGGTAGAAGTTTATGTCTGATTTTTCTATTTTGTTATTACTTGGAAAAAATGTATTAAGAATGAAATGGTTGATTCCTCTTTGTGTGCTCATGTAGGCATTTTCTTGGCTTTTCGGTTATGGAAATTGGTTTACATGTCTTTGCTCTGTGCTAGTGCAGTTGGACATTTGGATTTGGGACCTTTTTCTCTTTGCTTAAATGTTCTTAAATGACTTTCATTCTGCCTAATTCAGTAAAAGAGAGATGGCATCAGAGGCATTTTTGGACTCCAATTATCTCTTCGCAATGCGTTGCATGGCATCAGCGCAGGCCACGGGAGATTTGATGCAGTCTTTGAATTCTGGGAACACGCTGCAGAAAGAAGGGCATTTCCAAGATGCAGTGGCTTCCTTCCTCAATTCGTCGTCATGTGGTGACATTCCTGGTACGTTTGAGAAAGTTGAAAGATCAAATGGTCCACGCAATAATCCATTTGTTCATGCCATATTCTTTGAAGCCTTTCAGGTTCTTCCACCACCAGTGACTCCTCCATTGTGCAGCAAGAGTCACATTTGACCCAGAACCGAGCACAACCATCTAAAAGAAAACAACAGCAAAGCGGCACATCTCAGCCTAGATTACCGAAAAAGAAGAAGTCAACCATTGACCCGAACAAAAGGGAGCAGCTCCCTAATCAAAGTCAGGCACACAGAAGAAACAAAACCGGACCTAGACAAGACACTGCTCTACTACAACAGCAAGCTATGCATCAGCTGTTACTGCAGAATCCGGGTTCTTTGCAGTCACAAGGTCATCATAGTCCCCTCGTAGAGACTTTACCTCACAGGCAGCGGAGAACTTTTCAGCCAACGCAAGAACTACATGAAGGAGTTGACTTAAAGCAACAGCAGCAGAAACAAGTAAAGGAATACCTTCAACAGCTCGCAGTCAGACGTACACAATCACATCCACCTGCTCAGCTTTTCAACGCCAATGTATGCTCTCGCCGGCTAACACAGTATATGTATCATCTTCAGCGCAGGCCACCAGTGAGATTTGCTAATTTCTTAAACCAAGTACTTTCAGTTGTTTCAAGTCTTGATGCATGGATTGCTTCTCACGACTAGCATTCATCTTTCCCACTTTTTATGCCTGCGTCTGTGTTTTCAGAGCAATGATATATCATATTGGAGGAAGTTTGTGGCAGAATATTATGCTCCTTGTGCCAAGAAAAGGTGGTGTTTGTCTTCTTGTGACAGTGTTGGACGTCATGCTGTTGGAGTCTTCCCCCAGGCAGCTATGGTTAGATTAACTGACTCTGCTCCGTCATGGTTGATGGTTTTTTTACCGTATCTAGACAATCCTGAAAGATATTTGGTGTTTTCAGTTTGCAAGTGGTTGTAATTATTTCAAATGCATGCTATTTTGTGATTTTTGTTCGCACATACATTGTATGCTGAGTACGTTAGTAATATAAATTCAGTGTCAGAAAAGTGGCAAAAGAAGATTTGTGGAACCCCTTTCTCTAGAATTGTGTCGCATTGAATATTAAATCTGCAAAGTCAATTGCATAAAATACATTTAGCCAACAAGTATATCCAATTTGCATATATTAAGATTTGCCTCTTAAGTTGCCTAATATGGGAATAAGTCACTAGGAATGTGATGGAATTTGGAGAGGGTGCTGTCTAATGAGTGAAGCACTGAGTTTGGTGACTTGTTTTGTGTTTGTCAGGATGCATGGTGCTGTGAGTTATGTGGTTCTACATCTGGGAGAGGTTTCGGTAAGCAAAATAACAAATTGGCACCTGCTCTGTTAGGCCGTTAATAATGCCTTAATTATCAGAAGTAAGCTCATTAATGAAACTTCTGTCCTATTTTTCTTATTTTGGCAGAGGCCACTTTTGAAGTGCTCCCTAGACTTAACAAAATACAGTTTGAGACTGGGGTTACAGATGAACTTCTGTTTCTTGAAATGCCTCGAGAGTGTAGGCTTCCTTCTGGATCAATGGTTCTTGAATATGGAAAGGCTGTGCACGAGACTGTCTATAACCAATTCCATATTGTTCGCGAGGGTAAATTGCGGATCGTCTTTACTCCTAATTTGAAGGTGAAAAACTCACTTTGAGAACTTCAGTGAGTTTTGTTAGGTTTATTGGGGTGATGAATTGTATCCATGAAGAATGTCAACTTAACTGTTGCCATTTCTTTCTCCTCCTTTGCCAGATATCATGCTGGGAGTTTTGTTCAAAAGACCATGAAGAACTTCTGCCACGGAGTTTGGTCACATCTCAGGTACTCAAGAGGTTTTGCTTTGGTTTATATCTAACAGGCTGGTCGTCTGTAGGTTCTGGTACGGTTTATGCTTAGCAGTTGGAGATTATGAGCACACGAGGTACTCATACCGTTTTCAGGTTAATGATTTCCTCCGAACTGCGCAAGAATATCAGACAGCAATTGATGGTAGTGGACCAGGAAAGACATTGCCTGATTTTCAAGAAACTTGCCACACGTAAGATATTCCTAAGGTCCACCATTCATTCAACAACTGGTTGTAAATTAGGCCACCATATACCTGCAGAAGATTATATATCAGCTGCAAATTACAAATGGTGTTAACATCTTTGAATGTTCTTCACATACTTTTCTACCTTGAATATGGATCCTGGAGAAAGGCATTGACATTATCACGGGATTATCTATAGTGGCTCTGGTCACACTTGAGTGAGTGTTTGGATCAATATTGGAATAAAACTAGATTGGTCATGCTGTTAGCATTGGTGCAGGTTGTTGGCAGCTGGATGCAGCCTCGAGAAAAACTTGGAATTGCAGCTTGCTGGTGACATGGGCTTTCCAAAGCGATACATTCGTTGCTTGCAGGTGCAGTGTAAACAGTGTATTTGCTAAACTGCTATCAGACTCAGTTGATGAGTAACGTCTTAAACCCTCCACCCTTATTATTGTCATTGTCAGATCGCTGAAATTGTCAACAGTATGAAAGACTTGATGACCTTCAGTTTGCAGAACAAAACTGGAGCTATCGGTAAGTAATGATATGTACTCTCAGTGAGCGTCCATATAGATGTGTAAGAAAGCTTGTATGATAATCCTCATGTTTCAGAGAGCTTGAAGAGTTATACCAAGAAGTTCTCGCACACTCAGGTGCAAACCCAAGAGGAATCTGACTCGCTAGCAAAGGAGACAAGTCAGCAATTGTCAACTTCTCATTGCCAAGGGACCATGAATAAGGGTAAAGGTGGAGCCTTTACAAACTCTGACCAGGAAGCTTTGTCCGATTATGGAAGCTACGGTAAATTACTCAGGCAGGCATCCAACTCAGCTATGGGCAGACCCGGGGAACCCTCTTACATATACAAACAGTTCAATCAAGGCCCATACCCCAAACCACTCCGAGGTTCTCCCACTGAAAGCAGCCTAGTACACGAGCATATTATGAAGCTACTTCAAGGAACAAGCACTAAGAGCCAAACCCTTGGTTGGAGTGAGAGGGAAGTAGTAAACCATACCATCGATGACATGCTTGCTGGTTTGCCAACAATTTCCAATAACATGGATGCTTCTGGTTCAAGAAATAGGCTGCCTTCTGACGTTTGCGCTTCAACGGCTGCCAATTCAGGAGGAAGTATCCTTGCTGGTTTCCTGGGGAAGACGAGAAACAGTTGGGAATCTTCCAGTGGTTATGCAGATCCAGATTTCATCAGCAGCAACAAAGGAAGAAATTCTCTTGAAAGGCTTGGTCCATCCAATGAACATGACTTGTTCCGGAAGTTGCTCGAGAATGGAACGTCTAATGGTGTTTTTGGTGACCCCATGAGCTTTGGCTGGAAGTGATAAAGCTTAGCGCTATCCTGCCCTTTTTGCTTAGTAGGAACTCCAGTGAAGGTATACTCTGAAATATTTATGAAAAAGGCTTCAAATAGTTTGATCTGATTAAGAATATTTTAGGACCCTTTTCCGCAGAAGTACTAACGTAGATTTGGAAGAACAGAATGCTGTTGTACATGGTTCTTATTTGGTGCACAAAACTGTAAATCAATAGCATCACAACAGTTAGATCTTTAGAAATGGAAGTTCTTTTCTCCAGTAATAAAAGGAACTGAAAGAATTACATTGTATGCGACCGATAAGCTGACAAAGAATACAAAACCGGAATATACACATTGCTCTACTTGAACACATATACGACACAAGAGATGATGAGCTATTTCTTCTCCTAAAACGATCTTCTCTCGCTGCTTTTTTTTTAGTGAATCTTCTCTCGCTGCTACTATTATCAAAAGGTATGAATACGCCTCAAAAATGCTTCAACCTTTCTCTAAATTTACTAGGCAATACAAGTACAGTGTCCAAACACAGACCTCCCTTTGTGTGTGTACAGTCGATCTGTGTCATCGAGAACTTCAGCTTCGTCATTGAAGCATCATTATCTTTGTGGACGACAAAATCGCCAGCATGGTACAGGTTCCACTTCCCGGTATCATTCAAGAACCGCTGTGAAGATGCATACTGACCGTTGGAAGTCAGTTCAAACCGAACTGGTTTTTTGTCCCAACCATGGACATGCTCAGTGTTGCAGATCCTCCGACCAAACCTCTTAGCAGTTCGACCCAGCTGTAGCCTGAAGAACAGACTGTAGGTACCTGCTGGGAATGGGAACTCGAACTCTCCACCAACCTCAAACCACCATATCTGCTGAAGATAGGCAACAGAGGAGAATCTGCAGAAGAAAGGAAGCTTTGATTAGCTGCAGCACAATCCGATTAACTAGGAGTCCATTAATTCTATTGAAACTTCATACAAGGTTCCAAATTGACTGAAGCCCTCACCTTGATTCCTCGGTTGGAATGTGGTTCCAGTATCGTCGATCATCGATGCCAGTTATCATTAAGCCCTTGGAAGCAAGAGATAGACAGACACCGCCAGTCGTCTTATCAAGCCACACTTTCTGCACAAACATGGTACAAGGTTCAAGCTAATCAGTAAACCAATTGCAAATGCACAAATTGATGAGCTATTTTTTGATAACCCAACTATCATTGAGAATAAAATTCCTGGTTTAGCCCCTTGAATAACTATCAGTAAACAAATTGCAACTAAACAAATTGATGAGTGATGACCCTAGATTTCAGCTTTTATCCCCAACCACTCTTGTCAGCTGAGGGAAAATGAAAACCACCAAAACCCCAATAAGCTCGAGACTTTTCGATTCCTATTGAACTGCTGGATGAAAATCTTTCCAGAAAGAAGTAAAAGAAGACGGAAGGAACAAACCTTAGAGCCATCATCAATTGTATTAGCAGCGCAAAGTCTGGTGTAAATCTCTCTCTTGCTAATCCTCTTCCCATCAGCGTCTTCAACGCCCAACACTCTCTCCATAAGGGCCCGATAATTCTCCGGCAACTTGGACTCCCACACGAAATCAGCCCAAGACGCGCCGCGACACGCCCTGTTGAGCGTCGCCAGCTTGCAAATCTCGACGGGATCCAAATTAGCGAGAATCGGCGCCACGCAGCTCTCCGGCAAGTCGCCCAGAGTCGGTCTCCGCGGCGGCTGTTGGATTGGAACCGCGAAAGCGCCGAACAGAGAGCGAGTCGTCGCCGGATCCATGAAGATCGAAGAGATGTTAGCACCCATCACGGCCCAGAGAAAGAAGAACACAGAGGGAAACCTAGAAACTTCGAATCCAGAAGAGGGCTTTCCCAATTAATCCACGGAAAGGAAACACGGAATCGGCAGTCTATGAAATGAAGGGCGAAGCAGGCAGAACCAGAGGAGAGGTGGCAGAAGGTAGAGGAATGGGTATTTGTAGGCGAGACGCGTATACAAATGCGCAGAGAGACCCCGCACCCAAAAATGAAGAATTGTTTAAAGAAGGAAGGAGCAGAGAAGAAGCTTTTGTCGCGGATCGCCCTCTTGTTTGAGAAGGGGTTTTCAGCTAGGCTGTTTGTCTGTTTGTTTGACGGGAAAATTTACAGAGAATGGGAAAATTGAAGGGGAAAAGGAAAACTAGTAAATTAGGACTGATCTTGACAGCCTAAACCCAGAATTTCAACGAGCAATTAGAATGAGGAAAGGCAAAGTGAAGAAACCCTAGAAAAAATCTTAGGACTTGACTTGTTTAACTGAGCAAAGACTCGGACTTTTTGCCGCCGGCGGGAAATTGAAATCAATCGCTGTTCACTGCTCTGGTCTCCGGAGAAGGGTGTCGGATGATTGGGTAAAAAACTGTGAGCTGCAAATGGCTGCCTCTTTTTAAACTGGGGATGAGGGTGGAGCATTGAAATTATCCAATTAATTATCTGTTTGGGATAAAAATAAAAGAGTAGACAAACAACGCGGTTTTTTTGCGACCCAAAACTAAATTAGCGAATGACGTGGGGGATTTAGGGTGGATCAAAGAAACAAATTTTGGTCAAAAACACTAATTATTCCATTGTTTTTCCCTGTAGTCATTTCATCATTAAAATTCGTGAGCTGTTCTGTTCTTTGATGAGTAACAGCTCAGCCATTGCTGCTAAAGGTTAAAAATGGTGATTTTCTGTTTACACTAAGAGATGGGTTGTGATGGGAGGAGGGAAACAAATAATGGTAGAAATTTATGCTGGTGAGTTTCTTTTACTAAAGAGCACAGTTCAGTTGATAGAGCCATTTTTGGACTGATTTTCTTTTTGTTGAGCTGCGATACATGGTGAGTTTCTCATTTACCACCTCTTGTTGGGAAAGTTCGGGCGTAAATACACGCTATCGACATCAAAATGTATAAGAAATTTTATGAAAGTTCCGATAAAAGGAAAAAAAAATACAAAATGACCAGAAAAACATGCCGTACGAGTGAATGGATTTTTTTTCGTATCCTATGATACTGGTACTTGCATGTCTCGTAAGCGTTGTGAAATGTATGAGAACTATCCAGGTCTTGATGTTGCTAAACCGAATTCAAACTACATACAAATCAAAGTGTGGTATCAAATGAGGACACATCAAGTACAACGAAGGACCATATTACCATCTATAGTTTATTTCTTCGTAGAAAACGGATCTAATGTACACATATTCAACGAATCATATATAGTTCCTTCCTTAAACAAAAACATGATTCTTGGTTTCAATAGCCATGTATGCAAGGCAATCAAATCAATGGTGGATATATACTCTTTATTTTAATTGTCCTTCATTTAAATGGCTAATTAAACCGACATTTGGATTTGGCTATATGAGGCCCAATATAATACGCTTCGATACTTGGTCGCATAATTTTTTTAAATATTGAAGAAACATATTAAATTACTATTTCTACCAATTCAAACCAAACCAATGCAATAATAATCTGATTGTTTACTATTAGACAACGGTTATTGTGATATGAACTCGACAGTTGCATACATTAATGTGAGGATTTAGGCTATGGATTTTCTTACAAAGAGGAGATGGTCCAGCCGATTTCTAGTTAATTAAAGAAGGTGATTTGTGGGTCTTGAGAAGGTCCAGCGGAAGGTGATCCGGGATAGCAGGATGGGAGCTATTCTTCAAGAGGTGGTGCAATATTTTGCCCTCCATACTGGTTAAGTATTCAATTTGTTGGTCGGCGTAGTAATATTAGAGTAGTCCATTTGGTGGTTAGAAAAGCACTTTCGTTGTACCCGACTTCAAGTCGTTGTTTTAATTTTAAGGTCTATCTGAATTCCAGGGTGTAACTATTTATTGTTCGGTTTTAATATATGATTATCTTTTGTAAAAAAAAATATATATATGGGTCTTGAAGTTGGGAACCAAACTTGGAGGATTAAATTAGATGAAAACTTTTAAATTCACGACAAGACCACTTCCCTTTTTATTTTCGACTTTTCTCTACCACGATCATAAAATCCCAAGAGTCTGAGCATGCACCTCCATACTACGTTGGATCCACCAAAACTTTGTTGTTCTGTAGCGCCTCATTTTGGCCGTTGCCAAATCTGTAGCATGGGTTTGAGCCTTAAGGATGCACGAGGCCTAGTGGTTCAGTGACATTGAAAACCACATTGTAGACTCTGTAACATTTAGAAACTACCACATAGTATAAATAATATTGCTATTTCCCATAAAAAAAATATTTCATTTTTGCTTCAAAGCATATTGTAACAAACCAATCTTTTCTGATCAAGATATTGTCTGTTTTGAACCTACCCTCGCACGATTTTGCTTTTAGCTAGGATGCATCATGCTGATTTCCTTAAAGGTTACACATCTATTCACTGCTCCAGACTGGGCACCTTTAATTTCGAAGTCTGGGCATGTTTAATTTCGAAGTCCTCACAAAAACTCATACATTTTCACCCAAAAACACGTCTTAGCAATTAAGGTTGGATTGTTATTTATGAAAAATGAATCTCTTATGTACGTTGTCAATATGTGATTTGTCTAACGTGTTACCCCTATCACATTTGTTATTTTGATTGTTAAAAAAAATCCTATTTTTAGTAATGAGAAAAATATAAAAAAATATTTCAGCAATGTAGTTGGTAAATATTATCCAGATAATATTCTCGAGTACTAATTAGAACACTGTATAATAACGATAAAATGTTTCCAACAAAATGAATCTAAAAACTTGATTTTAACTATTTGTTGTCCATACCAGCTGACGGAAGTGAACTTTTGACGTGTGAAAAAGTCATCACCGCTATTTGTAATTACATTGTTTACTCCAATTGTTATGTACTTTAATTATAATAATGTCAGAATAATTAAACGAAGACATCAAAATCAAGTCGGCCCGCCCCTTAATTACACCAACTTGTCAAATTCTTCACTGCACTTTTCCCTTTAATTTCCTAATTATTTTTTCTTTGGTACCATCATCAACATCAATCTCTTAATTAAGAAATTAGAAAAGAGCAATTAGCGACATATATATAAAATAATATAATAGCAAAACCAGTGGCTGAGGTTTCTCTTTCACAGTTTAAAATATATAATGAGGGAGGACAAGTGTGCCAATGGGAACACATCTAGTCAGCAAAAAGTACATCCATTACGACGTGTATCTGACTCAGCACAAGAATGCTCAACCACATGTATTAGGTTTAAGGGAAGTTATGTCGTGTTTTTTTTTTTTTAATGTTGAGAGTGGATAAGGGAGTGAGGATGACAAAGCATGTAAGGTTAAGTGGTTAGTTGATTGTTTAATTGATCATCAATTAGTGGGCTAAAGTATGATGATTAAAGCGAGGAAAACAGTTTATGTTTTCATTAGCGAATATTTGCTTTTGATAATTGAGAAATTGTATAAGGAGCCTGGCTTCTTTCCCACTTGTCTCCATATTTGATGGTGAGTTGTATTGATTAGTTTTTAATTAATCTAGATCTATGCCATACTAGCTCAATTAGGAGAAACCTATAATAATTGGAGAGAGCTAGAGTAGGTTTTTATACATTTATTCTTTGAGAGGTGGTAGTGCTTATACGAATAATTTGGTGTGGTTTGGACCTCGAATATTGCAAAATAGAATTAAGTTAACAATTGTTTTTTTGATAATTGAGGATAAATAAGTTAACAATTTTTCATCTGAAATTCTCAATTATACTACAACTGTATTCATGTGCGTGTGTGTCTGTACAAACATATTGGACGATTGATGAGAAAAATGTTCAAAAAAAAAAAAAAAGAATAACGGCAGATTGTTTATATGTTAGTGAATTAATAATCATCATTGGAAAATATATGAGAGATTTCCAGATGTGTCATCAACAAGGTAATGGTGATGTATGAGATACTAACCAATTGTCATAAACCAATTGATCTCAACAATTCGAGTTGTTGAGAGAAGGTTAATTATGAATCTTATGCTACTTTCTTACACCGTTACACGTTCAATTAAACGAAAGCCAACTCATGGGATTGAAGTTTGCATAGATCCTCCATACCTTATACTTTAATCAACTGTTAATATTGGGGTATCGTGGAGATTCAAACACATGACCGTGCCATTTGGTCAAACCAGCTCGACACCATGTCATAAACAAGTTGGTTTCAATAACTCGAGTTGTTGGAAGAAGGTTAATTATGGATCTTATACCACTTCCATACACGAGTATGGTGACATTCTCTTCTCCGAGGGAGAAGGGAAATCATGTGAGATCGATTGTAATATGTATTTACACGCATGTTTACGAAATATATAAGAAGACAATGAGTGAGATGTAATCATACAAATAACAAAAAAATAATAATATTATGAGTGAGATGTAATCATACAAATAGTAACATCAGATTTTGAATCTCAATCAACCATCACATCTCACTATCTCACTATTTACAAGGAAGAGATTAAGATCAATATATGAACCTTTTCAACAATCCGAATTATTAAAATAAAAACCGGAACTAATTTTCGAGCATTATTACCATCTATACACTTAACCGTTGAGTGCTAGATAGATGCCGGGGGTTGGTCCGCAAATTCTAAATAAGGTTTAACTGAAATAATGTGGTTTTAACAGCTGACATCGTACAAGCGTACGCGTGATTAGCTAGCACAACGTACGATAGCACACGGACAGAAAGCATACCAAAATTAGATTTATTGGCTCGTAATTTAGTAGGTATTGACAACCAGAGATTTACTATGTATTAAGGAGGAACTCACTAGAGATTCTCAAGTTCATCAGCTTGCGTACTTTCAAGGGTACGACTGTACGAGTACTGATTGATCCTTTGGTCAAGCATTTACTTGAATTTACGAAGGTACGATGATATCAAAACGAGGAAGTTCATCAATTTAGGGTCAAAGTACAACCTGGTCGGTCAATGGATGTTCGTGTTGTACGTAATGCATGCATGTTCAGCAACATTGAAAGTGTTTGAGCCTCGGCGCCCCGTCAACACGTCCACGTCCTTTCCGTCCGGTGCCTGCCTACACACACGAGCACTGAGGGGGGCGCCTGGGCCCGTTAGCCCTCCGACGACCAAGTCAGTATCTTAGAGAGAGAAGTGCTTTAGAGCAAGAGTTTTAGTGAGATAGTCCAACCTGTGTAAATGCTACTAACTGCACCTATTTATACTCACCGAGCTCGAGGTTGATCTCCTCCACGTCACCGTCACATTAAATGCTTTGTACCCTCATTCCTGTCAGAAGCCTCAACCACCTTGTCAGGCTTCTGACGACTGGCAGACGCCCACAGGCGGAGGACCACTTGCCAGCCTGGACCTCTTTGGCCCTTAGTGCTTTGTCTCCAAGCCTATGCTGCCTGGTGTGAAGTGGGCTTTGCAGGCTTCTTCTCCTGACCCGTTGCCTTGGGCTACTTTCAACTGAATGGACTCTCTCTTGGGCCCTCTTTTGGGCCCATTTAGTGGTATAGGTGTCAATCGGGCGGGTTCGGGCTGGGTTCAATCGGGTTGCGGGTTCATCGGTTCGGGTTCAATCGGGTTCGGGTTTAATCGGGTTGCGGGTTAGTCAGGTTGCGGGTTGATCGGGTTCGGGTTCAATCGGGTTACGGGCAAATCGGGTTCGGGTTCATCGGGTTTCGGACAGGGCGGGTTGCGGGCGGATTGGGTTGCGGGTTATCGGGTCAACGCATCGAGTTACTTACTCGTTACCAACTTACACATTTTATTACACTAATTTAAATATTTTTCACAGTTTTTAATCAATTTCTTTCTACCTTGTATATATACTTAATTAAGAAAAACTAGTCAAAATCACCACAATCGAAATTTGAAATCTCGCCTTCCTACCACAACTAAAATT